TTCTTTTAAGTATAAAAGCGTTTATAAATTGTTGTATAAATTACGTTAATAAAACGCTTATCACCGTCATGTGTGGTACATGTTTAGATTGTTCCACACACATGGCGGGTATGACAAGCTGTGAGCAATCAAACCTTGCACATTCTGAGGGGGGGTTTCAGTCTTCTCCTCCTGGCGCCTTACACCGACAAAGCAAGGAATCTCTCAACGGATGCAACATTCTAGGGGGAGTGTTCAATGTTATCCTCCCCGGTGCCTAACAATGACAAAGCATACCGAGTGCTCCAGTTGAGGGGGAATACAGAGAGAAAATGAAGAAAGTAATGAGAGAACATGTCCCTATGGCTTAGTAAACCCAACTAAGCTTACCCAAGGGACAAAGCCGAGCGTAAGTGCGTGAGTGAGCGAGTGAGTGAGTGAACATTATGAGCATTAGGAAGCAGAAGGCTCAAGTGAGAAGAAAAACAATTATCAATGATGAGTCTGCTACCTCAATTGCCTGCTATGAATTGAACATTTGCTCCTAGCCACTAAAATACTCTGGACTATCCCCATAGGTTCAGGACTGAATTTATTCAGATCCCGGGTAGAAGTCGATGCATTTTGTCCAAACGGCGCGCATGCACAACCCTACCCAAAACCACTCACTTGTCTCCCAACAGACAGGTGTTTAATCATACTTCACGGGGAACCGCATCTCTCATTACTGTCTCCTTCCGAGGCAAGTAATACTGACTACAGTGGCCTCCAGCCCCATGCCACTGAACTTTCATTGATCACGTCGTGTCTAGTTACATCACTCCCAAATGTTTTGAATTTTCTAGGACACCGACACACTTTTTGAGTCAGTTGCAGGTCTTCAAAGACCCGCGAGAACTTCCATAGGTCTCATCTATTGCAGATGTAGACTAATGATTGGAAGGAAGTACTGCTGTTGCAACATAAGAATCACCAACATTTTCAGGCCATTGCTAAAGAGTTTATCTCTATAGTGATGATAACGGGCGTCTTCACGACCCCGGGGGGCTACGTTATCTTCTTTAGATTCTGCTTGTTTTCCCTGTTTTTATTTCCGCAGAATAAAAGAATAAAGGCATGACGCCCCGAATCATCGGATCGTCATGAGGGGGAGAGTGGTCCACATGCTGTTAACTATCAAAAAATCATTCTGGGACACTTCTCTCCTCCTACACTCTCTCTACTATCTCTACAACTCAAATCAAATGGTCAGCTACACTCACAAATCAACAATCATTATGTTCCGCTGTGCCACCGACAAGTTCTCCTCAAATGCATTCATTCCAAATAGTCAAAAAGACTACATTGTGGAGGAGACATAGGTCAAATACTCGTGTCCTGAAGATGAATTCCATGGGTGTCTCCTATTCTCCAAAGAATATTCATTCTAGAGGCGTCACCGGACTTCATCCAAGCTGATCAAAAGCAACTTCTGGAAGGTAAGGACTACATGCAAGATACTGAAGGTCCCTCAACCCCGGCATCAAAGATCAAATTGTCAAGAAGACATCAAAGGGGAGATTGCAAGGATTTCTTCAGATAGCCTTCCTCAGAAGTCAAGTTCAAAGACAAAGGAAGCTCAATAACAACAAAGACAAAGATATCTGCGCTGCAATGCTGATTCAACACGATTGATCACCAAGAGGGAGATTGTTGGGAATATTTTATGGTGTTCAATCTAGTTAGTTATCTTTGTATTTGTGTAGTTATTAATTAAACGTGTAATACGGGCCACAAATGTGTATCACCCCGTGGGCTTCCTTGTAACCCGTAAGTTAGCTAACTTCTCCTATAAAAGGATGCTAACTTACGGGAACCCTAACTGATCAAAAGAGGCTTAGAGACGCAGAGGCGTAGAGATAGAAAGATTAGGGTTGCCGCTGCTCTCCTTCTTCAGGGAGAGCAGCGGCAGGTTTGATACGGTATACCAGATTTGGTTTCAATCTTGTCGATTTCTTTCTATCTGCTTCTTTTATCACTGCTATGGTTGTATGATTGTTAGTATTCTGGAATTAACAGTTAGTTACAAAGTGATTTTTGGAGAAATTCAATAGAGGAGAAATTTTGGTGTTTCATGTATTTTGGAATTGTTATGGTTCACGAGTTACGTGATTGGGATTTTGTATAGATATTGTTTACTTATGATTTGTTTCTGTACTTGATTTTGTACAGGTGCTGAGTTGGTCCCGTTGAAGTTGATTTCGAGAGAGCTTACGCTAGAACACAAAATTAGTAAATAATTGTAATTACATTTTCAGCATCTTAAATTAGTGAACATTTATTTTAGAAGTTTAATCTATTTTGAGTTTAAATTTTTTTAGCATGTGCACTCGGTTAGGTTAGAACCGAGTGTGGCGGTAACACCCTATTTCCCTTTTGATTTCCGCTGCACAATTCTGATGTTTTCAAATAAAGATAATAAATAATGTTTAATTTAAAGGTATTTTTGGGTGGGAAATTTGGGGGTGTTACACCTGCGGGGCCGGAGTGTTACAGGAACCCCTTTGGGTTGATTTGAAAAACGAACGATTACCTCATTTCTGCTTCATATGTGGGCTGTTGGACCATACTGATCGTATGTGTTCAAGACGTTTTGAATATGCTACAAGAGGGAAGGAGAAGCTCTTCGAGTGCTGGTTGAGAGCCAGGAGCAACAAGGGGTGTGAGTAAAGGTAGGAGGTGGCTTGTGGATCAGGAGGGGAGGTTCATTCACGGGCAACCTCTTATCTCACAGTTGCATGAAGTGCTTCACAGGAGACAGAGGAGGCAGTTTATGTCTCATCACATGCTGAATGGGTGATGGCCAAAAAACGTAAAGCAAGGGGACTTTTTTTGGAAGGAATTTCTGAAGAAGGGTAGGACATGGACCACAGTTAATCAAAAAACGGGGAAGCGACAGATTCTGGCCTCCAGACCCGCCGAGAATCATGAGTTGTCTGAGTTGGAACTGTCGGGGTCTTGGCAACCCTGCGACAGTTCAAGCATTGGTGGACATTGTCCACTTGAAGCGGCCGACAATGATTTTCTTAATGGAGACTTTTTCAAATATTTGCAAAGTGGAGTATGTTATGCGAAAATTGGGGATGGAGCACTGCTTTAGTGTGGGAAGCATTGGGCATAGTGGTGGTATGGCTCTAATATGTGGAGTTGGAGTTCTAATCCGGATTTTGGGTTCCTCGAGCAACTATATTGATGCTAGGGTGACTTTGTAGGCTGGCGCACCTGACTGGTGATTTACGGGATTCTATGGCTGTCCAGACAGACATAGGCGAAGGGAGACTTGGGAGATTTTGAAATCCTTAAGCATGGGGGAAGAGCTTCCTTGGCTGGTAATGGGGGATTTAACGATCTGATGGTCGCTTTCGAGAAGCGTGGTAGGGTCCCTCATCCACCCTGGCTATTACGGGGCTTTCGTGAGACTGTTTGGGAATGTGGGCTGCAGAACTTTGGGTTCCAAGGTTATCTGTTTACTTGGGGAAGATGGAGGGGTTCTCCAAACTGGGTGGAAGAGAAGTTGGACAAAATACTTGTTTCAGAGAGTTGGCTAGAAATCTTTGGCGAAGCCTCGGCTAAATCTCTTGAAGGCTCTCCTAGTGATCACTTGGCTCTTTATATTAAGTTGATTCCTTCACAAGGGATTCGTAGGAGACGAAAATTTAAATTTGAGAATGTTTGGCTCCAGGAAGTTGAATGCCGTGATATTGTCGCACGAAGCTGGGGGCTTGGCCGAGAGAATGGAATTATGGGGCAGGTGGTGATGTGTGGCAAAGCCATGGGCGATTGGGGGTTCAAGAAGGTCAGGTCCTATGGGAGACGCGTCAACTTTTTGTAGGAAGCGGCTCGAATACCTTCACGGTCGTACTGATCAGTGGTCTGTGGGGGGATTTCAGAGATTTAAACGAGGGTATTTAGATCTTCTTGAGCAAGAAAATATTTATTGGAAGCAGAGGACCAAAATATTTTGCACTGTATAGATAATACGAAGTGTTATAAATCAAAACATATAAGAAAAATAGAATGAAATATAACAAACAAATAAGGATATACAATGCAATACAAATAAAATCTTACCAAATTTCATTGAGATTACAGCAAGCGACATCAAATTATCCATCAGAATCATCACTTTCAAACTCAGAACCAATACTAGTACTTTGTTGGGAGGATTCAGTACTATCAATTAGAGTATCATCTAAATCTTCTTCATGGGCATCATCGATATCAACTGCACGTGATACAACCGATTCGTTTGAAATGAATGTTTCCTCATCATCTTCAGATTGTATATCGTCTCTATGTAAGGATTGTATATCATTCTGGATAACCTCAAATGTATCGTTAATTTCAATCTCTTGATATACTTCGTCTTCCATTGAAGAATCATCATCAACATTTATCACTTCGTCCTCTCTCTCTGGCACATCATATATATGTCTATGTTGAAATGGTTGCACAACTCTCCAGTCACGTCCTAACTTAGGATCGTTCATGTACAAAACTTGTTTGGCTTGATCAGCTAGTATATACGAGTCATTTTCATACCATGTTTTAGTCACTTTAATACTAGTAATATATCCCTCCTTTCGTATCCCTTCTTTTCTTTTTCCGAGATCAAACCATTCACATTTGAATATAGTAACATGTCTATCTTTCACATAATCAAGCTGAACTATTTCAACTAGAACACCATAAAAATCTATGATCTCTTCACCATGGTTCCCCTCCACAACAATTCCACTATTTTGAGTTTTCCGGTGACTATCGCGATCTCTAATTAAGAATCTTACTCCATTAACAATGCAGCCAGAGTACTTTCGAATACACCTATGTGGTGCACATACAAGTGAATATAGAGACTCGTTTGCTTTAGATGGATCTTGTTTATGTAATCTACTCATCTAACAAAATGCTTAAAATAATCAATAACATCATCATAAGTATATGCTGCAACAGTAAACTATATTTATATTATGTATACTTACCCGGTTTTTGAACCACGTAGGAAATTTGTCCTTGTGTTGTTCATCAATATTTTCACACCCGGATAGGAGAAGCTCTTCCTTGTGCAATCTACAACATTTAATGTGAAGAAAGAATTATAAAAGATAAATTAAAATGCTATTTTAATATTGTAGTAAATATAAAAAATATAACAAGCAGCAGTGTACACATGCTACTGGTAGAAAAGTCATAAACAAAAAATACTCACTCAATATATGGTTCGACTTCTTCACAGTTTTGAAAGACAAACCATTGGGTGGCTGTGAGTTCATCTTTTGATAATTCAGCATATGTTGCTGCTCCAAAAGGCCGACAGTTTTGTGAAAAGATTGATAAAGCATCATCAGATGATATATCATTATTTCTATCATCTCGATTAAATCTAGTTTCTACCCCGTGTAAGTACATCGAGCAAAACGTCAAACTCTCTTTTGCAATATATGCTTCTGCGATTGAACCTTCCGGATGGGCCTTGTTTCGGACACTTTGCTTTAGTCCACCTAGAAATCTAAACAAAAAAGCACATATTTAAGTTAATAAACATGAATCCTGCGCCACAAAAAAAGAACATAATATTTTCTATTACCGTTCGATCGGGTACATCCATCTAAATTGAACTGGACCACCAATCAACGCCTCATACGGTAGATGGATACATAAATGAACCATAACATAAAAAAAGGAAGGAGGATATATCATTTCCAGCTTACACAAAATCAGACAAATATCAGCTCTCATCTTCTCTAAATCAGATTTCTTCAGCTTTTTACAACATAACAGTTGAAAAAAAATTCCTAACTCCGCCAAGACATCAGTAACTTCCTTCTTTAATGAGCCACGAATACCATCTGGAAGTAACCGTTGTAAGAGTACGTGACAATCATGGCTTTTCATTCCAGATATCTTATCATCACATGACGTAACAGATCGAGAAATATTAGAGGCATACCCGTCTGGAAATTTAACAGATTTCAAAAACTCACAGAATTCATGCCTTTCTTTTTTTGTCATTACATAACATGCATGTGGCTTTTTATATTTTCCATCACTCGTCATTATAAGATGTAACTCCTTGCGGATGTTCATGTCCTCCATGTCTTGTCTTCCCTTGTCAGTATCTTTTGTTTTGCGATCTATATTCAACAAGGTTCCCACTATATTCTCGCATATGTTCTTCTCAATGTGCATTACATCTAGATTGTGCCTTAACTTAAGTTTGCTCCAGTAAGGCAAATCAAAAAATATGCTACGTTTAGTCCAATTCAATTCTTTAGGCATGCGCTTCCTTTTCTTTCTATCATGCTTTCCTGGTATCACATCTTCAAGTCTATGTAACTGCATTAAGACTTCATCACCAGTTAAATTTTCAGGTGCTTCATTGTCTTCTCTTTTACCATTGAACTTCTTACTTCTTCTCCAAGCATGATTTTTAGGTAAATAGCGACGATGCCCCATGTAGCACAACTTATTTCGCAATCTTTGAGAATAGGTTCGTTGGTTACAAAGTGGACAAGCCATATACCCTTTAGTACTCCATCCAGACAGATCACCATACGCAGGAAAGTCGTTAATAGTCCATAAAACAGCAGCATGCATACGAAAACTACGTTTACTAGAAACATCGAAGGTTTCAACTCCTTCAACCCACAACTCTTTTAGCTCTGCAACTAAGGGTTGTAAGTATACATCAATGTCTTTTCCGGGTGAATTCTTACCTGGTATTAGCAAAGACAACATCAAGAATGGATCTTTCATGCAATCCCATGGTGGCAGATTTAATGAGGTTAGAATTACTGGCCACATGCTATATTTAGTGCTCAAGTTTCCAAAAGGATTGAAACCATCCGCAGCTAGAGCAAGTCTGACATTTTTAGGATCATTTGCAAACCATGGAAACTGATTGTCAAAGTCTTTCCAGGCTATGGAATCAGCAGGATGTCTCATGTAATCATCATCAATACGTTTCTCTTTATGCCATACCATCTTTTCAGATGTTTTTTGGGACATAAAAAGGCGTTGAAGCCTAGGTTTCAATGGAAAGTACCTTAAAACTTTGTGTGCTATCTTCTTCCCCGCATCAGCATTGCCTTTCCATCTAGAAGTTCCACAAGTTGGGCAGTTTTCCAAGTATTTGTTTTCCTTCCAAAATAAAACACAATCATACTTGCAAGCATGTATACATTCATATCCCAACCCCAAGTCACGCAATATTTTTTTAGCTTCATAATATGAACCTGGAAGTGTCTCACCATTCGGAAAGGATAACTTCATCAACTTCAGGATCATATCAATTGCTTTATTACTCAACTTATTGTAGACTTTAATGTGCAACAATTGAATGACAAAAGATATTCTTGATATTTGCTTACAACCAGGATATAATTCTGTTTGAGCATTTTGCATCAATGACTCAAGATATAGTGGAAGACCACCGCTATTAGAACTATCTTCTGCTGACATATTATCATTATCTTGATGATTGTATTGTTGACCTAGATCAAATAACATCTCAGTAATACCATCTTCTTCTTCTTCATCTTCTTCACAGACGTTATCCGTTCCATTCCCTGTATAGGCATGATTCTTTTTTGAAGTTCTTGAACCTGATTCTTCACCGTGATAAAACCAAGTATTATATCCTGGATCTATTCCGCGCTCCAAAAGATGAATCTTAACTGTTTCTTTATGTTGAGTTCTGAGGTTCAAACAACCAACGCAGGGACATCTAATCACACCCTCTCGACCATTGTAGTCTTCAACAAATGTCATAAATTTTTTTACCCCATCCACATAAGCATGGGACCATTTAATTTCATGCATCCAACCCTTGTCCATTTAAGATCCCACCTATTATATAGAAAAGTTTATAAGAAATACCAAGCTCAGGAAATAGTTTAATGAATATGTATATTATAAACAATATCAGTCATTAAGATATCAAGTCCTTGTGCATATAGTATGACTTAGAATCCCTTGTTATATTTTTGACAACACAAATCAGCCTTAAAATAAAAACTATGTGCATCAGAACCGTTTGGATCTACTTTTATAATAAATAAATGTAAAATTAAAAATATCATCATGATGTTTTTAGGAGATCAAGTTGTATTAGAAATATATTAAAACAATGTAGTAGGACAGTTTCAAAATGTAAAAGTAATCCATAGAGGTTGTAGTATTACATTTTAAAACTACCTATATAGTCACTTTAAACAAATCAGGATGTTGAATACCAAAAAACACCCTAACTTAAATTCAAATTTCAAAAACTGGGCTGGCTCTTGTAATTAATAAACCAAAAGATCTCTGATCAAATGATAGAGATGGATCACCAGCAACTTATATTCACATACTAATTGAGATTATCCAAACAAACACTATGAAACTCAATCCATAAACTAAGATGCATGTGTGGTATATATGATGTAAATTATAAGAACTGACATTTTGTAAGAAGATGACATATTGATTATAGGTCAATTTGAACACCCGCCCTACTGTTATTAAGAAAATTAAGGGTGGATTAGAACATAAGAACCGCCCAATGGAACTGAGAAATCACCATATGCTCAATGCAAAAACTCACCTTGCTCCCGTAATTAATAAAACTAAAAACTCTGATGTAAATCAAAGATTTGTGTTACATTAACCAAAAATTACTCTCAATAATGATAAGAGTATAGGCAAAACAAACATTAAATTCAATGTACAACAAACTGGGCACAGTCTTTTGTCAATAGTTAAGGCAAAAATTGGGTAAAAAAGCATCAGAAACAAAAAAACATTAATATGACATGTTCAAGTTACTGTAATGGCTTAAAATCTATCGCTACTAACCTTAGCATTCGTAGCAATTGAGAGTCACGACAGACCTCCAACCTTCAACGCCCTTCCACAGCTGCACTCAGTCGTCCACGAATTTCTGGCGCATTTGGAATCGCCGATCGAAGGAAGATATATTCGGCTATGAATTGGATTCGTTTTTGTTGTTATATGAATCCGGATTCGTTGATTGGAAAATAAAATTTGGTTACGAAAGAGAAATTTGACGGATTTACGGGTTGAAGGGGATGTCTATGAGGTAGGGCGACGAATTTGCCGGTTGAAGGGGATGGCTACCAGGCAGGGCTATGAGGCAGGGTGACGGATTCGTTGAAGGGGATGGCGACGAAGAGACAGGGCTTCACCAGTAAAAGTTTTATACGAAGTAAATAGTTTCATCAGTAAAAGTAGTTTGCCGGTTGAAGGGGATGGTTACGAAAAATTTAGTACGGAGTATTAGATCTACACAAGCAGTTACTGACCTCTTCAATATTAAAAGTACTTTTTATTAAAAAGTAAAATTATGACTTATTTGCCTTATTTAGTATAAAAAGTGAGATCTAGTGGAAAAAAATTGCCATAGTTTTATATATTCCCTCCGGTCCCAAATAAACTTCACACCTTGCACTGTTTTGATGTAGATAATTTTCCAAATAAGGAAGGGAGAAGAAGTGTGAAGTTTATTTTGGACCTACCCAAAAAGAAAAGTGTTAAATTTATTTAGGACCAGAGGGAGTAATAGTTAATTTTGATACATTTATTATAAGTAAAATGATAAATAATATGAGGTCAAAATGTCATTATACATTAAATAGTGATTTTTCATCTATAAATTTTTCTCTTAAATTTGTTAGAAAATACTTTGTTAAAAATTAAAATATGACACATTTGATTTTATTGTCATCAAAAGGTTAATCAATGACAAAATAATATTGTCATTTTTTTATAAAACAATTAATGACAAAATATTATTTTGTCTTAATAATAAAAAAATTACTTGACGCATGTTATCGTCATTAAATGTGTCCAAGTTGTCATAAAACAAATTCCCTCCAAATTTTTGGCGTCAAATTGTGGCGCTCAAAATTTAAGTGACAAATTAAATATTATCGTCATAGTAAACATCAATAAGTGACGAAATAGAAAAGTAACAATGACAGATGATAATATTGTCATAACAAATTGTTTTACTGTGACAAATTTGAGTTTTGTAGCTATTACTTAATATAATATGACAATTTTTTGTGTGTCACACAAATTTTTGTCATAAAATGTGTGATTTCTTGTAGTGTACGGCAGCGAGATTGTGATTAATTCTACGTGTGAATCCCGTCACGGTTCACATTCATCTAAAATTAACCCCATTGAAGATTAGGACATTATAAAAACCACCATACTCAATTGAGGTATATTTCTATCCACAATTAGAATATGTCTAACCTTTAAGTGCACGGTTTATAACTCAACGTTAATTGCTCAAATAAACCCAACGATATAATCATACGTTGTACACCGTAGTCATACACATTAAAATATAAAGGAAAGATCATAATAATTTGGTTGAGAACATACATCAAACACCTAGAGTGCGTAAAGTTTCATCCCTAACCTTGGCTATAGAAAATTAGCTAGAACAATTCATAATAAAATTACAAGTATTGAAATGATAAAATACAATGAAATACATAAGAAAATGATACCACAACTCCAAAGCTATGGTGGATAAAGCTTTCCCCAAGTGTAGAACTTCTCCCAAGACCAAGGGGTTGCTCTTGGAATGCCAAAATAGAAGTAAAGTGTGTAGAATATGGAATAATCTCTTGAGAGGGCTTCAATCCTCTTAAATATTGAGTTCTCAACGGCCATTTTCGGACAAGGAAGCAAGCTCCTTAATGGGATTTGGTGTTTTGCCCGAATGATTGTGATGACCGTTGCTTGTTTTAATCAGCTCCAGGCGAAAGGCGGCCGACTTTCGCAAAAGCCGGGCAGCTTTTGCGAGTTTAAAACGGTCTTCTCCGCTCCAGGGACCGAAAGTCGGGCGGCTTTCGCCAAAAGCCGGGCGGCTTTTGGTTCGGTTTTGCTGAATAATTTCCACGGCGCCCAAAGCCGGGCGCCTTTCATGAAAGCCGGGCAGCTTTCGTCTGTTTTGCTCCGGGTGCTTTTCCTTCATCTGTGGACGGCAACGGGATGGCTGGTTGGTGAAAACCGACCGGTTTTGGTGAAAGCCGGTCGGCTTTCACCCCTTTGGTGTATTTTCTCCTTTTTTCTTTTGTTCTCGGGATGCGTTTGGTTGACCTTTACTTTTCGGGATTCTTCGCGTGACTTTTCATCCTCGTATTTGATCCAATTGTCGGTTATAGTATTTCTTGCAAAACGAGACATATGTGTGAGAGTTTTATTCTTTTAAGTATAAAAGCGTTTATAAATTGTTGTATAAATTACG